ACCCCAATAAAGTTGTTAAAAAAAAAAAGAAAGAAAGAAACAAAATGTGCTTTTATAATTTTTCAGATCTGTTGCCTAACTCCTAGGGCATATTACCAACACTGTTTTTCCTATTTAATTTATTAGAAACAATGCTTCTTACCCCGGTTGAAAAGTGAGCCATGTTGAGTCATGAGAGTGATTTACACACGAATTTACTCCCTGGGAGTTGGGAGAGCACTGGATCAGCCTCTCTAGGGGTGGAGCGGGGGCAGGGGGGACAGGGAAGGGCTCATTCAATTGATTAAAAAAAAAATCCAGAGAAGGAGACACATGCCCCAAGGTCCACAGGCTGAGGTACTGAGTCCTGTTTTCTCGGCTGCCATCTGGCCTGCCCCACGAGGTCCACAGGGGAACTCAGTTGGGGTCTCTTTCCTTGCTTTTCACTTTTGGCTGGGAAGCTGACTTTATCCCTTCCTGTAGGACATGCAGGCACAGGGTGTTTCTCTCTGCCTCCTGGGTGTGATGCTCTTTCTGTGCTCAGCGCATGCCCGAGGTCTCAGGAGATGTCTGATTTCCATGGACATGCGCCGTATGGAGGAGAGTTTCCGAGGGATCAAAAACGCCATTGTGAGTACGGGTTTGGGGTGAAGGTGTGGGCAGGGGGGCGTGCCTCACTTTACATCTTAACATGGGGAGCCAGTTCTTTCTCATTACCTTTGTGCCTCTGGAGAATGTGGAGTACTCACTGCTTGTGTCTGTTCTTATATTTTCCTCCACAGCAAGCTAAGGACACCTTCCAAAATGTCACCATCCTGTCCACATCGGAGACCCTGCACAGCATTAAGGTATTGGTCTGTGTCTGCTCGTTCCTCTATTGTCATTTTTACGGTGAAGTGGCGCAGGGCTGAGGGAGAAATCCTCACCCTGTGCTCTTCTCTTTCCTAACCTCCAGTGAACTCTGATGCGCCGGCTTCTCACATGTGAACTGATGCGTGAGGGTGCACTCGCGTCTCAGCGACCTTGAACCCCATGGGAGGGTGTTCACTCAGGGAGTGATTGGGGTGCCACACGCTCAAATGGGACAGGATGTCTAGGGCTTAGGGTGACTCTGGAAGGTTTCATGGGGAAGTTGAGAAAATGAGCAGTGACTTAAAAGCTGAGTAGGCTTGGGGTTAGTGGCTAAAAGAGATGGAAGGGTTTTGGGGAGAATGGGTATACAAAATCAATGGATACATGTCAGGGGACATAGAGGCAACCAGGGGGAATTCCCTGGCATTCCAGTGGTTAGGACTCTGTGCTTTCACTGTTGAGCACGCAGGCTCAATCCCTGGTCAGGGAACTAAGATACTGCAAGCCGCGCGGCACGGCCGAAAAAAATGAGACAACCAGGCTCGTGGTGTGAGGGACATGAAGGCAAGTGGAAGAGAATGAAGTGCACAAATACATTGGAGTCATTTTACCAAGAACCTTAAGCCAGGCCAAAATGGAAACTGACTAGCTGAGCCTCGGCCTTCTTTTTTTTTTCTTTTTTGGCTGTGCCGTGCGGCCATAGGCAGTCCCTGCAGGTTTTTGAGCCAAAGACTGTATGGCCACAAAGTCTTTTAGACAGTCTGGTGATGTTCTTTACAACCGCCAGCTTGAGGCACGAAAGCAGGGAGGGGATCAGTCTACTTGTCCAGAGAGAGGTGGTGAGAGTGTGTTACAAAACTGTTGGCTTACGAGGTGATAATTCACTTTACAGAAGGGGCCACTGAGAAGTGCCTTTAAAAGTGAGCTCCTCCAGACCTTGTAAGCATTCTAGAAAGATCCAGTTCTTTCAGGCATTTATGTGACAGAGTGTGAGGTACATCCACAAAGAGTTACTTTTTCCTTGGGCTTCTCTGCACGAGATAATTCTTCTAGGCAGTATTAGGCCTGATTTATGTATGGTAAACACATGGGTCCACTTCCTAAATACTATTCCAGCCAATGGTATAAGAGACTCAGAGGATATGATAGCTGGAAGGGACCCAAAAGGTCATTTGTTCCCAAACCATCATTTTCAAGTGACCAAATTGACATCGTGGGAGAAAGAATGACTAGTTAGTGGTTGAGCCAGGAATAGACCCCCCAAGTCTCATGCCTCTGTCTCTAGATTCTTTGTCCTCTCAAGGTCTAGAAATAGCTGATGTGGCATAAGGAAAGGGGTCAATGAGGATGCAGGTCTTTGCCATATTTCTCCCCTCCCCACCCTCTCCCTCCTTGATAAAACAAAGGTTGCAACTTTTTGCCCGGTTGGTTAAGGGAATTAGCAGGAGCAGAGGAAAAGGAGGGTTTTTGTGTTGCAAGGTGAGTTTCCACGTCAGAAAATCTGCCTGTCGGGCCAAGGAGGCTTTGCTGCTTTAATGCTAATGAAGATAAATGCACCAACTGCCTGTAGCCACTTCCCTTCTCAGACTGAGCCATAAATCTCCTGCTCTGGCTCTCAGGGCTGAGTGCAAACTGCTAGAAGGAAACTCTGCCTGGCCAGCTGCTTTAAACTGTGCCTGGGGAAGTCAGGAGCTTTCTGTTAGGGAGAGCTGCACTCTGCCCGAGGAGGATCTGCCCAGATGTGTGCATTTCGGCAGCTGTCAGTTTCCATTCTTGCACATCTCAGCTCCATCCAAGTGATCCCTGAAGTTTAAAAAGGACAGACTGGGGGCTTCCCTGGTGGCGCAGTGGTTGAGAGTCCGCCTGCCGATGCAGGGGACGCAGGTTCGGGCCCCTGTCTGGGAAGATCCCACATGCCACAGAGCGGCTGGGCCCATGAGCCATGGCCGCTGAGCCTGCGCATCCAGAGCCTGTGCTCCTCAATGGGAGAGGCCACAACAGTGAGAGGCCTGCGTACCGCAAAAAAAGAAAAAAAAAAAAAAAAGGACAGACTGGAAAAGAGCTGAGCAGGGTGGCCAGGATAAACACAGTGTCATTACACAGGAAGGAATATGTGCCCAGCACAGGCCTGACATGCAATAGCCATCGAATAAACACATGTTGGTGGCTAGGAGATGTTCCAGAGAGGCAGACTTCAGCACAATGTAAGGAAGTACTTTTCAAGAAAGCTGCTCAGACATTGGTCCTTTCAAAAGGAAGGTGTCTGATGGAAGCGGTTAAGCCGAAGTTAGGGATGACTTGTTGGAGATGCTGTAGAGAGAATTCTAGTCTCTGACTGGGCTCCATCCCTTGTGAATATATCTCCTGGCCATGTAAAAAGAGGGTAAGAACGGCAATCTCTCCTTGGTGCCTTTGTCATAAGTAGCTTTGTTGTGGTTAAGAGGATCCTCTGAGAGCAATATGAATTTAAAAAAATGACTTCTAGTTATCTCACTCCTTCTTGCCCCTACCTAAGCAGGCTGCTTTGATCTCTAAGATAGTAAGAGAAGAGGGCCTCTGGAGCTTTCCCTAATTTGTGTCTGTAGCCCTTAGATGTGTGCTGCGTGACCAAGAACCTCCTGGCATTTTACGTGGACAGGGTGTTCAAGGACCATCAGGAGCTGAGCCCCCAGATCTTGAGAAAAATCAGCAGCATTGCCAACTCTTTCCTCCACATGCAGAAGAGTCTACAGCAATGTGTGAGTCCCCAGCTGCATCTGCTTTCCGTCTGCCCCAGGGCGAGCCCAGGGCATGCTGGCCCCAGTCAGTGTTCCGAAATGGATCCTGGACTCAACGGAAATTCCCGGTCCTGTCGCCCACACGGAGAGCTGTTGGGAGCCTCTTCCAGTGGTGCCTCCTTGTCCAGGGCTTCCTCCTCACCAGACCCAGTTTCCTCATGGATAATCTTCCTGTGGTGACCGACTTATGTCAAAGCATCTCTTAAGTGATGCCGGGGCTGGCCTGTGAGAGAGGCATACTGAGGATTCTGGGCTTATCACAGGCATAACCCTAGTTTCTTTGTTTCTGGCCCTTTGGGGTTTCCATACCAATTAACCTCTGGGTGGTTCCCTGGTATAGCCTCTCCTAAGGATCACCTATTCATTCACTGTGATCTATTAAAGACAAACCTCAGGAATAAAACCAAACCAACAAAAACTTAGAACGGGAGAAAGCCTGGACTCTGGCCCCATCTCTGCTGAAGATTTCGTTTGTAACTTTGTGGCAAGTTACTTCACCTATCCGTGCCTTGGGTTCTAAAATTGTTAGAAGAGGTCATGACCCCTATCCCACTTACATTAAGATTCATTTAACCAATTATTTAATTAACTGGCCCAACATATTCATTGAGTGCCTACCTAACGCTGTACTGGGTGGTGACACACAGACTTGGAACCTACTCTCCAGGCCTTTCCAGCCTTGGGTAAGTGCAGGGTGACTCCACACGCAGACCCTACTGCCCCCTTCTGCCCCAACCTGGGTTTACTCACCTGACTCTCACCTTGGGAGGAAGGAGAACTATCATTCCTCATGAGGGAGGTGGCGGTGAGAGTGAGCTGGGGTGGAAAGGTCCTCTGATGGGTGCTGTCTCTGCTTGATCACAGCAGGAGCGGAGGTTGTGTCACTGCAGGCAGGAGGCCACCAATGCAACCAGAATCATCCATGATAACTACCATCAGGTAAGGGAAGGGAAGAGGATGGGGAAGATGGAAATGGGGTGTCAGAGCCTGATTGGGCAGCCTCCTCTCCATTCAAATTCATTCATTTACTCACCAGTATTTATTTATTTATTTATTTATTTATCTTAACATCTTTATTGGACTATAATTGCTTTACAATGGTGTGGTAGCTTCTGCTTTATAACAAAGTGAATCAGCTATACATATACATATGTCCCCATATCTCTTCCCTCTTGCATCTCCCTCCCTCCCCACCCTCCCTGTCCCACCCCTCTAGGTGGTCACAAATCACTGAGCTGATCTCCCTGTGCTATGCGGCTGCTTCCCACTAGCTATCTATTTTACATTTGGTAGTGTATATATGTCCATGCCACTCTCTCACTTTGTCACAGCTTACCCTTCCCCCTCCCTGTATCCTCAAGTCCATTCTCTAGTAGGTCTGTGTCTTTATTCCCATCTTGCCCCTAGGTTCTTCATGACCATTTTTTTTCCCTTAGATTCCATATATATGTGTTAGCATACGGTATTGGTTTTTCTCTTTCTGACTTACTTCACTCTGTATGACAGACTCTAGGTCCATCCACCTCACTACAAATAACTCAATTTCAGTTCTTTCTATGGCTGAGTAATATTCCATTGTATATATATGCCACATCTTCTTTACCCATTCATCTGTTGATGGACACTGAGGTTGCTTCCATGTCCTGGCTATTGTAAATAGAGCTGTAATGAACATTGTGGTACATGACTCTTTTTGAATTATGGTTTTCTCAGGGAATATGCCCAGTAGTGGGATTGCTGGGTCGTATGGTAATTCTATTTTTAGTTTTTTAAGGAACCTCCATACTGTTCTACATAGTGACTGTATCAATTTACATTCCCACCAACAGTGCAAGAGGGTTCCCTTTTCTCCACACCCTCTCCAGCATTTATTGTTTGTAGATTTTTTGATGATGGCTATTCTGACCAATGTGAGATGATACCTCATCATAGTTTTGATTTACATTTCTGTAATGATTAATGATTACTCAGCAATATTTATTGCGGGTCTGCCCAATTCTGTGTCTGCAAAGAGTGTGTTGGTCTTACCTCATCTGCTAGTTTCCTGGGCTCCCCTTCCCTATCATCCTTCCAGCATTTTCTTATGCCCTCACATATCAGACCTACGTTAAGTTTTGAGGGAAAGCACATACTGTTTAAGATGGGGGTGATATCAGAGGGAGCAAAGATCTCCAGAGAACTGTAAGCTGTTATACATGAAACATGCTACCTTCTGGGTGTCACTGTGGCCAGTAACTGACACCAGCATCCTGTGTGGTGACGAAGCATAGTGCTTCTCGTGTAGGTGCAGGTGTTGAATGCACACCTCACGTAGAGGTGGAGTTAGAAGCAGTGTTTCTTATGTGCATCATTTCGAGATTCTGTTAAAATGCAGGTTCTGGCTGGTAGGTCTGTGTTTCAACCACACTCCCAAATTATGACAATGCTTTGAATAACAAGGAGCTGGGGAGTCCGTTCAGACCTCTGCTTCTTTGCGGAGAGGTTCCACAGGATAATATAACAATGGCTGAAACGCATATCGTTCTTCCTATGAGCCAGGTATTGTTCTAAGCACACTAAATGTATTAACACACTTATTCCTCACAACAGTGCTATGAGCCATTATCCGCATTTGATAACTTAGGAAAGCAAGGCACAAACAGGTTAAGTAACTTAACTAAGTTTATACTGCAGCTAAGTGATAGAGGTAGGGCTCGATCCCATGCCATCTGGCTCCACAGGACATACTTTTGGATCTTACCATCTCCTTCTATTCTGCTGAGGAAGAGCTGGAATAAGTCAGGAGAACTGGGTTCCAGTTCAGCTCTTCTACCGACCGGCTGTGTCACATTGGGTAGGACACATCCTTAGGGGTTTCAGTGCTTTAATTTGTGCAGTGGAGGCACCACCTTCTCCCTCCCCACTGCTGGGCACCTCTGGGATTGAGGCTTTCTGGGAGAACAGAAGCACTAAAGCAAACTGATGTGAACAGGAAAGTAAGCAGAACTGCCAGAAAAGCAAGTTGTTTTTTTCTGGGAAATATAGGAAAAAGAAAAACAGATGGCAAAGAATGAAGACCTTTTCATTTTGTTTATAAGTTGCTGACATGATTTAACTGCTTGTTTGTGGAAAGCAATTTAGGTCACCTATTAAGAAAATAATTTGAGGTCTGTATGCCCTGCAGATATAATGGTTGAATAAAAAGCAAACCTCATGGGGACCAGAACGTGGGGAAAGTGATTTGAAAACTATGACACGGTCTAGAAAGGCAGGTTCTTATGATGATTTCCATGGTTTCAGTTGGAGGTCCGGTCTGCTGCCATTAAGTCTCTGGGAGAGCTGGACGTCTTGCTAGCTTGGATTGACAAGAATCATCAAGGAACTTCTGCTGCCTAAAGACAAGAAATCTAAGTTTGGGGGATGAACAGCCCCTGAGAGGTTTCCAGTTGGAGACAGCCATCTTTGAAGGGGAGGGACATAGGGAAGGCTCCATTTTTATGCAAATTGGGTCTTTTTGAGGAAACCTTCCTGCCCATTTGGAATTCTCTTCTTTGGGGCTGAGGTATTGTAGGGGAAAAATCTAGGTTTGAGCACATCTTTCCCTGTAGCTACAAGTCTCACTGGCTGGGCCCAAGCTGTCTGATTCCACCTGAAAGTATCCAAGCAGTCTACTGTCATATTTATATGAAATATGTCTGTCAGAAGGTCCTGTGGGCCATCCTGTGGGGAGAGGGTGAGTTTCCCCCTAATTTATTGTGAACTTGTCTATCCTGTGTCTGTGATGTGATCTAAGTGGTATTCTGTAGTGCATATTGTACTGATTGATTTTTTATAATAAACTCTGTTCTTTACCAATTAGTGGAAGTGTCTTCTGATCCAGGGAGAAGGAACCATGAATGGTGACTATTAGAATTAAAAGGGCCTTAAAGAACAGAAACAGATGGGGAAACTGAGACCTAGAGAGGAATAAAAATTTACCCAGAGTCCCAAAGTGAGTTAGTGCCGAGGGTTTCAAACTGGACTCCATCCAGCACCCTGTCCTCCACATAATGATCAAGAGGATGAACATAGGGCTTTGATCATGACTCCTTCTTGCTACCACTCCATTTCTGATCTCTCTTTTTCTGTGTTTCTGTCTTTTCTCTCTGTCTCTCTGTTATTGAAATTGGGTCCCACTGCTCTACAAAATCAATACTCACAAATGTTGATAGAAAGGAAATGTGCCTTCAGTCAGAATGCTGGCAATCTGGGGAGATGGACTCAGTATTCCCCAGAAACCACCTCCAAAGATTCTGCTCGGACGTGAAAGCTTCTAAAGGGAAACAGGGAAGTAATCTCAGTTTATCACTGAGTTAGCGGGTCAGAGGGTGAGTTTCCCCCTAATTTATTGTGAACTTGTCTATCCCGTGTCTGTGATGTGATCTAAGTGGTATTCTGTAGTGCGTATTGTACTGATTGATTTTTTTAATAAGCTCTGTTCTTTACCAATTAGTTACCAATTTACAAACTCATTCTCAGCCAAAAATAAATAAATAAAATAAATAAATTTGTATATAAAAAAAGATCCCCATTTCCACCTTCAGCCCATCTTATACCCCTTTCCTGCTTCCCCAGCATCCTATTTTATTATTATCTGTTTCTCCACTCAAATGTAAGCTTCATGAGGATAGTTCAGTTTCTTCACTGCCTGGCACTTAGTAAGTTGTTAAATTCACATTTCATGAACACGTGATCTGGATGCATTAAAACGATAATAACAGCAAACATTCATACAGTGCTTTCCACATGCCAGACAGTCGTCTAAGAAATATACATAATGTAATATATTATGAATATATATTTCATTTAATTTTCATGACAGTCCTATAAAAGTGAGAATGAAATAAAATGAAAAAGGCCCCCTGTTTGAATGTTAGCAATACAGATCATTAAACCTTAAGGAAGATCCTGGGCACAGAAGTTAACACCTGAAGTCACACAGCTCATAAGCAGCAGAGCCAGGCTTCCAATCCCGGCAACCCGATTCCAGGATGAACTTTAATGTCAACAACAGTGTACAGGTGTTGAGCACTTATTATGCGCCAGGCACCGAGGTGAAAGCTTCTTTCGTTTTCTCCTTTCCTCCTCACGATAATCCTCTACGGGAAAGGTTATTAACAACCCAGTTACACAGATGATGAGGTCGGAAGCTTAGCGAGGTTCGGCAGCACGCTGAGGGTCACGCAGTTAGTTGTGGAACTGGGATTTGTTTAATTAAACAAGGAGATCGTTACCCTTAGGTGGCTGTAATGCCCTGGTGGGTCTGTGTAAGCAAACCAAAATCTAAGCACGTAAACGCCTCAAGGTTATGAAATCAAAATGCTAAGGACCAATCACAAACACCAAACTAGGCTTTAAGCTGTAGCCAATCGAATAGCTTCCTTTCTTTGCTTCCTCACCTTCTCTATCTATGTCCTTCCAGGCTTCTGATCGCAGAGAGCTCCTAACCACTTCCGGTTTGGTGCTGCAGATTCCAATAGATTTTGGCCCAAATAAAATGGTAAAAAATTTTTAATATGCATCCGTTTATCTTTTAACAATACCCAACGCAGGTGTTCTACCCCACCTTGAATGCATGGTGGACAAGAGAAGAGGAGCTTTACTGGCATAAGGAGCTGTACCTGCAGGAAATAAATGTGTTGTATCAATGGTTGTAAAGTAGAGGAGGAGGATATAGGGCAGGAGAGGGAGGGGGAAGAAGCACTATTGACGGGGAAGAAGCCCCACCCCCATATCTCCTGCCTGCTCACTTCACTTTCACCACTTCGCTCGTCTACCTGTCCTTCCTCTCCTTCTGGACTTGAAGAATGTGTCCTGGCTCTTGTGTAGAGTCCACAGAGGGCCTGGTACAGAGTTGTGTTTTTTGTTCTTGGTGTTGTTATTTTTTGTTCTTGTTTTCACAGAGCTGGTGCTTCATAAATACCTGCTAAGGAACCAAGTATAAGATTCACTCCCAAACCATACCTTCTGAGTCCTTGATTAGCCCCTAGGAGGAGCCCTTGAGAAATCTAGGGCTCATCTTCCACCGCTCAGGTGCAAGGGGAGGGAATCCATAGCTTGTGGCAGGACCATGCTTGTACTTTATGTATATGACCTCACTTAAGTCTCAGAGGAGCTGAGGAGGTTGTAGGTCTCATCCCCATGGGACCAGCAGAGGCATCTGAGGCTCGGGGAAGTGGGAGGACTTGCCTGAGGTCACATAGCTGAGGGACAGCAGGTCCAGAAAGTGAACCCTGGTCTGATCTTCCTGGCTCCAGTGCTCCCTCCTTGCTTTGTTTGGGCCAAGCTCTCTAACCCAGAGCCCAAGTTGCTACACTGCATGCCAGCAACACAGATCTTTAAACCCAGGTGCATAAAAAGGGGCCTGGACTTGTCAGCAGCAAGTCTGTGAAGTTACACACAAATTTATGGACCAACACAGAGCAAAGAAGCAGAGGCTGACTTCTGAATGTGTCACAGGATATTCCGGGCCCAGACGAGCCTGGGCTCCTCCTGGAGGACATTCTATCCCCCTTCCATCTTCCAGAGCAGATCACTGACAGCCACACAGGCTCAGGGCAGCCTGTCTTTTAGAAACACGGACTTGCCCAGAAGTTTGGCCAAATGGATAAGAGGATAGGTTTGTGTGAAACCCTGGTCCTGCCACTTATTGTGTGATCTTGGGCAATATACTGAACCTGAGCCTCCCTTTCCACATGGGCACAAATTAAGGAGATAGCTGCCTCATGGATTGTTATAAGGATTCAAGGTACCATTTATAGTAGCTGTGTAGTAGGTGTAGAGTAGGTGCTCATTAAAATGATGGTTGTTACTATTTAGTGATTTTCAACTTTTCTAATCTTATTTCCCATAAAACACTGTTGTTTTGGGAAAGCCTTCCTCTTACATGTTTTTTAAACTAGCAAGTGAGACAAGGCAAACTGTGCCGCTTTCTGGGTCCGCACTTCCAGGAGGCTCTCAGCTGAGCCCCCTCACAGGGGTGCTTGCAGTTTCTGTGCGGCCAGGCTCCAGGCAGCCTTCCTGATTCTCCTGCTACTCAGCCCACCCCCTGAAGGCTCTTCTGCCCGCGCCCTCCCTCTGTCACAGACTCAGGCCAGTGTGAAACTCTTCCCTTGACTCTATCTGAACCTTGCTTTGTTCACGCCTAGCACAATCCCTGTTGCATCCAAATCACTTGATGTCCCCTGCAGCTGTGAACAAATGCCTCTGCTCGGTGGCAGAAGCCAACTGATCATTCCTGGAGATAGACTCAGGGGTCAGCAAATCATGTTTGCTCAAGGAGTTTCGGGGAGGATATATTCTTAAAAAGACATTATGAGTTCTAGAGATAGTATATACTTGCAGTTCTGTTACGGAAAGATATTCAGTTAGCCCAGTCTCAGGCCTCTACCATGGAACCACCGTCAGTGGAGACTGAATGTTGTGAAAGAGACATTTTCTGTGCAGGCACAGGCTTGATCCAGGCACCAGGACCGGGTGAGGGTTCAAAATCCAGCTTTCATACCAGGAGATAAGTTTGACTTAGCACGCCTTTGGTCTGGATGTCTCTCTCTGGTCACTTTCTAGACACTCTAAGAAGACTCTATGCCTCAGTTTCCTTATTTTGGAAAATGAAGGGAAAAATCATCCCTACCTTAAGGGTTGCCTGAAGATCAAGTGAGTTAATATTTCACGAAGTACTTAGTGCCTGGCATGTGGTAAGTGCTATAAGCGAACAACAGAAGAGCCTGTGGCCACATTCTGCTGCTCTCCTAGCTCTACCCCAGCCTAGACTTAACTTCCCGAGAACCATAGTCCCACCACCAGGGCAGAAACAGTCTTCCTCCTGCTTCTTCCTATTCACCTCCACCCCCATCGTCATTTGTGTTCCTGGGACCCAGAGTGATTTTCCAGTTTTTGACAAGTCAGAGACATCTTGCTTCCATCTCCTCTCTCCAGACTGAGCTCCTCAGGACAGCTACTTTGTGAATGGCTGCACTCAGTAAATAAATATTCTTTGAATGAATGAATGCATGCATGCCACAAAGGCAACCCCAGCTGTCCTCTAGGCAGCTCATTCTTGGCCTCTTGGAGTAAGCCTACGGCTTTGCCGTTTGGCTTTAGGAATCTCTCTGGCTTCCTCTTATCCTCCAGGACATTCCTTGCTAATGTCCCCGTCTCTAGCCCATAGCAAAGATTCAGTTTTCCCCTCTGTCTGGCCTCCCTGGCTTGGGTTTCGATTTTGCCCAATTGTTGTTTTACGGTCCTTAACTCTATGTCCTGAAGCCTGAAGCATTAGTGCCTCCCATTCCACTCCTGGGCTACCAGCCCTTTGGCTATCGCGCTAACCTGGACCCCCGCTCTCTTGGGAGCCATGT